GCAATCAATTATATATGGATGCTTAAGCGCCAAACCTGCCTACCCACCCGACATTAAGTCGTCTTAAAGACGTGTTAAAGTCGTCTTGATAAACGTCTTAAAGATGTCTTAAACTTGTCTAAAATGAAACACTGTAAGACGTCTGTTTGAAGATGTCTTAAAGTCGTCTTACATAAAACGTCTTTAAGTTGTCGCATGCAAGACATCTTAAAGTCGTCTAACTTAAGACGTCTTTAAAAGGTTTTAAACTGGTCCAAAATGAAACACTGTAAGACGTGTTTTGAAGACGTCTTGCAGTCGTCTTTAAAACGTTTGAAAAAGTCAAAACATTTTAACTTTTAGTTTATGAACTATCTAAATGCTATAGGAGAAAAAAAGAGACATGATTTACTACCAAAAATATATTTCACGCCATCAACAACAAAAACTAAATTAAAACATGTTCAATCAGATTTTCGTGATGCTGGTGCGTTTTTCAACACGCCCTGAATAAACTGATGGACTGTCTTCTCTGATTCCTTTGGATATCTTTCTAGGACAGACCCTAATAAGTGAAAATTAATAAAAATAGGTCTAGAAAATAATTGTTATTTTAGAAAGTAGCATTAGAAGACACTTACTAATCACACATTTATAAAGATTGGTTTCTTTAAAACTTCTCTTTCCGCCTCTCTGCCCATCCATGTTGAAATTTCTCATGAGAAAACAATCCAACATACTAAAAAATCAGGAGGTAAATATACAATTAAAAAACTGATAATTACAAAAGTTCCTAAGGAGAACTTAATTTCTTATTAGCATTATATTAGCCCTGATAGCAGGTCACATGAGAATTCTGATTAGCAATTTAGCTGTAAAAATACAAATAAATGTTTTTAAAGCTGTTTTTTATTCTTAATCAACAAACAAAGCATTTTTACCGTCGCATAATCGTTCGAGTACAGTCACCTATGTTGGCACCTCCAATTTTACTCAGCCTTTCAATCTAAAAACAAACTTGATTACAATTTATTTTGTTATAATATCTTGGGTTTTCAGAATTCTTTTAACAGCCCCAAGACATATCAAATGCATATAGTCAAGGCAGAATCCAGAAACACATTTGATACCAGCAGCTATAAGAGGAGACTTATATTTCTGATGTTTCTTATATGACTGGCAGCTAAAATCTTCATCTGTTCGCTTGCGAAATTCTTGCTCTTTATTAAACACAACCCTACCTTCCCAGGATCCTTTAATAATGCACCTTTCACAGGAAAAATATCCAGTATGACCAACAGTCCCTTTTAAAAAAGATCTTGCTGGGACATCACATAGAAAAGCTCTAACTTTAACAGTGTGTACAACTGATTTTATTGTTATACCAGATAATTTTATACAACACAATTCTTTTAAAAAATCATCTAAAAACACATCCAAACTTGATGGTTTTCGTTCCCCTGTGTATATTGCCACAATAAAAATCTTTCCACCACCATCTTCACAAAGAATCGGCCAAAATTGAGTATTGGATGATTTAAATAAAGGTAATCCGTCAATATTAAAACTAAGCGATATTTCACTTTCAGAACCTGTTAAATTTTTTTTGATACCAGCTTCTAATCCAAAATAGTAATATGTGCCACCACATTTTTGAACACACTGAACTTCTTGTGGTACTTTTAAAAGAGTTCTTGCATCTTTGGGTAGCATGTTACCATGTTTTCGAAGTATATCGAGTAAACTATTCATAGCTGCTTGAGAACAATTAAACTCTAGACACCAAGATGCAAGGTCTCCTGAGAGGTTTTCTCTACTGGTGGTTGAATTAAAAGAATTTCTGTCACTAGAACTGTCGGATAAATATTCAGGTGAATCGCTCGACCGTACTTCCATATTTTCTTCCACACGTAAATTACTACAACTTTGACTGCTAGAATGAAAATAAGCTCTAACTTCTTCTTCTTGAGGTGGTGCACAGTTGACGTTACACACATCCACAGTTTCTCGAGTTTCTTCTAAAACTGATTTATTTAATTTTCTCCAGTTCTTTAAATAATCTTTTCTTGATGCAGACATATTCTTAACAATTACTTTGAATGAGTTAAAACGAATTACTACTTTAACGTATTGAACAAATTAATACTTTAACGTGCTAAACGAATTACGACACTAACGTGAAAAACTTTATTAAAACTTATATTATTTATTTTTTTATAAAATAATATGTGCGAAAAGAAACTGGTAACTATATAGTTACCATTCTTTTCTTTTCTTTTCGATCATTAAAACTTATCTTCCGCATTTAATATTCATCTTCCGCATATACTCAGAATTCTGTCTCATACCGAGTATATGCGGAAGACGAATATTAAATGCGGAAGATAAGTTTTAATGATCGAAAAAAAAAGAAAAGAATGGTAACTATATAGTTACCAGTTTCTTTTGGCACATTTTATTTTGTAAAAAAAATAAAGTTTTAATAAAGTTTTTTAAAATAAAGTTCTTGAATTAATTCAAA